CATCCTGGGAGTTCACTGGAGCCTCACGGCGGCGTCGAAAACAGAAGAGGTGAAGAAGTGTGAGCCGGACCGTGACTCACTCCGTCAGACGTGCGCGACTCTCGTAACAGTCTGCCGTCTAATCTGTGGATCAGAGCGTCTGAGTGTGGACATGAAAACACACAATTACGTCTCGTTCGGCGTTGTGGGAGACATGAAGGCGTAATGCAGGGAGGCTTAGGTGTGTTGTGGTGCAGCGGACGTGGAGGAGCCTCATTCCTAATGATAGATCAACCGTTAACACCTCCTGTGATATAACTGCATTCCTGCTCAGTGATGTATTGCAGGAAAGAGTTCATTTATTCACTTTGGAGCAACACTGATGAACGTGGGCCTTCTTTCCTCGCTGTGTTTGTTTCTGCTGCCGCTTCAGATTCGCTTAGCGTCTCTAAGGCTCTTGTGTGCCACCGCTGAGCCGTTGTTTGCTCCTAATTAATGCCGTTAAAGTCTTTATCCAATTTGAGGTCTGTGCCGGCTGATCAGCCGAATGCCAGCAGTCCAACGCTCGCTCTGCACCGTCATCTGGTTTCTACATCGTGACCTCGGTCGCTCCAGGAAACACGGCGCTCAGGTTCCTCTGCATTACAACAAATATCAATATCAGTGATAGATCTGCACGCTTTATCTCGCATGTTTTACTGCAGCTGGAGTTTGTTTAGGAGGTAAACATTTACGCCAGGAACATTATTCTGCAACCGTTTTGATAATCAGTAAATATGATGATCCAAGGCAGACGGATTTTGAATATAAAAGTCCTTTATTAACATTTTGCCTCACTGTGGCCTCAGTTTTCATTACAATATAAAGTCCTGCACCTCTACAGAAGCAGAACAACCAGGACTAAAAGTAGACAGAACTCAGAAGTGTCCCATGTGCAGCATGACGAAGTTAGAATGCCACCAATCATTAAAACAACAACAACAACAACAACGAAAATTAAATTTCTTTATCTATTTTGCAACAATTGAAAAAAAAACTCAGAATCAACATGTACAAGATTTGACCAAGTCCACACAAGTGTTACCAGCACTGGGGAGAAAAACTGGTAATATAGATATTTAATTTATTGTATTTTTAAATTTGATTTCAGACTCGTCTCCTCTGTGCTCGGCGTAAACACTGCCTGCAGTTCAGCCGAATAGTCCCTGAATTTTTATCAATTTACTGTGAGTGATAGTTAAATCACAAATATCTTCATGGTTGCAATAAGGAACGCAGAGTTTTTGTTTTTTTTACAGATTCTTGTTGGTGCAAACACATTATTTTTGGCAAATTTCTTGAATGAGACACGTAGAATAAAATTATTTTAATAATTAATGGGTGAAGTGTTCTGAAGAAAAGCCTCACGAGGAGTTCAAAGACTGTCAGAAAAGTTGAGAATTCAGTGATTCTTTCCATTTTTTTTCCTACTGTTTTAACTGCTCTGATAAATGGTGTAACGTTTGATAAAACTATTTTCATATTTCAAATCAGAATAACTTATTTTGGTTCGCTTACCAATAAACACAAGTGCGACAGTCTGGGTAATAATAATAATTCGTTAATAAGGGTCAAATTTGTAATTATATTTAATATTAAGTTAAAAATATACACAGTGTGTCATTAAGTTGCGTCTTAAATCGCTGAATTTAATCCCTCGGTTTCCATTCCTTTGTAATCTTAGGAGACGCTTTAAACAAGCAGCCGCAGGTTAAACCTTCTTCAGTTAATAATTTATTGTGAACTGAGCAGAGATGTGACTGTGAAGCATTTAGCGGAGGGTCGAGCGTCCACAGCGCAGCAGCACAAGGTCACATTCAATCAGTAATCCTCTTCACAAAATAGATTTAATATATAACTCATGCATAGAAAACACTAAAACAGCAGAAGACTTTTGCAAGAGCGCTGCAACATTCACTCATAGATGCACAAATACAGATGTGTGTGATGTGTCGTGAATGTGCAAAAGGTTTTGAAAATGAGCTGTTAGGGTCCAGGGTTTTGGAGGCTCATTGCATTATATTACATTATATTTAAAGATTAACACCTGGATATTTCTACCTTGAACTGATGCAGAAAGACACAAATTGATGCATAAAAATCCACCAGAATGCAGGAAATTAAGTGATTAAAGTTTAATGGAGTCCAGACATCTGACAAATATTTTTCATCAGCCCTGGATCTCAATAAGTTCTGTCTTTTATTTATATTTATAATAATATATTGTTATGTATTTCTTCTTCTTCTTCTTCTTCTTCTTATTGTTATTATTGTTATTATTATTATTATTATAATTATTATATCATCACCTATATTTTTTCAGATTTTTCTGTTTTTGAGTAATAATTATTATCTTTTTATTTATTATTAGACAACTGTCAAATCTCATAACTGCTCAGGACATAAATTCTAAAACCAGTAGATTTTTTTCTTATGTTTTTCGTGCCCTCTGATACACAAAAACAAATAAAAGCCTTAATAATAGCATGTGTATAACTCAAAAGGACACAAATGAGCAATTATAAGGAAAGAAATCTACAATAAAAATGAAGCCAGGGCAAAAATAAACGCGGATAAGACCAGAAAGAGAACTAATAAAACACCTTCACATGAAGGGAAACTTTGAGATGAGACTTCACCACGATACCGACATCCAAACCAAACAGATGATCATTTATAATATCTGCTTCTATGGAGAGAACTCAGGTCATGTTTTATAGCTTCAGTGAAGTCAGTGTTTGGAAGTTTTGTCGAGCATCTCCAGGCAGCAGATCAGTCTGGGGATTTGGTGTTACTTGTGGGGCTTTTTCTCACCTGCAGCACCTGCTTCTCCTCTCCTGGACTATTTAAAAGTTCGCTCACCCAAATTAAACAACCATCAAAACTAAACATGAGCATTAATAACCTGTGAGACGAACTGTTTCTGTCCAGCTGGGAGCTAAAAGTCGGTGCATCAATAAGACCAATTCCAAAGTGCATTCACTGATATTTACAGTATGTGGACTGAAACTTACTTATAGCTTGACGATGGTGCAATTATAGGATTAAATCTAGACATTTTCAGGCAACGCCTCAAACTGACGTGAAAAGCCGCCTTTACATTCAAACAAAAGAGTAAAAATCTCGTCTGTATGTGTGTGTTGACTCAGCAGGATCGTATTAAATAAGAAAAGTTGACCTGCAGGGGAATAAGTGATGAAAAGCAAAATAAAAACAGCTGTTATGTCCTCGTTTATTTACATGTTTACCGTCTCTTTACTTCCATGTTTCTTCCTGTTTCGGAGCAGTGAAGTGTGTTTTTGGGTCTGTCCGAGCCGTGATGGAGTTACATAAGAGGCCCAGAATGGAGGTCAGGAGGAGCTGCAGGTCCTTGTAGGGACAAACGTCTTTTCATCTGTTTTTCTTCGGAAAGTAGGACTCGGCTTTTTCTCGCACGGTATCAGAAAGTGACCCGAGGTTAAAGCAGCAGAAAGGAAGGGGTTTGTGTTGACTGTATAAATACCATGCCGTCGCTTCTGTGCTTCTCTGTGAGAGAGACGGATTCTTTTTCCTTCTGTAACGGATCTAAATGTACAAAGCAAAAGAAAAGAGTTTATTTATTATATGATATTATTTTTCCCTGTTCATCAAATGTTCCTCCTCCACTGACAGTTTTAAAAAAAAAATATCTCAAGATAAAAATGTTTTCAGCGCTTTTGTGTTGCTCTACAAATTTGAACATTTTTTATTTATTTTTATTTAGAATTTGATGGATATTACAAGTTAAAAGGCATTTTTGTTGTTTTTTTGTGATTGTTTTAGTATTTTATATTTATTTTTAATTTGAAATTTCATCCTACAAGTTGCACATTTGGCTTTCTGGGAATTTTTATGTTTATTTCTTATATCAATGTTTATTTGTTTCAAAAAGTAATGTAATCCTGCAAGTTGCAAATTCTTGTTATTATTATTATTTTGTATTTTAGATTTATTTTATTTTGAAATTTAATTTTACAAGTTTTCAGTCTGTTTTTTTATTTTCTATTTATTTTACTTTATATTTTAATTTTACAATTTGTTTTTTGTTGGGTGTATTTTTTTTGTTTATATTTTATATTTATATTATTGTAGAATTTGATTTTACAAGTTTTCAGTCTGTTTTTTAAAAAAATATATTTATTTTATTTTAGAAATTAATCTCACAAATCACCATGCTGTTTTGTGTTGTGCTAGTCTAGATTTATTTTATTTTAGAATTAAACCTTGTAACTTTCCAATCTGTTATTCATATTTGCTTGTTTTTAGTCATTTCTATTTATTTTAATTTAGAGTCGGCTCTGATTTTGATCTTACAAGTTGTCTTGTTTTTGGGGTTTTTTTGTATTTTATTTTATTATTTGATTTAACAAGTTGTCACCCATTTCTTTTTCTTCTTCTTTTTTTTCTTGGTATTTTCTGTATAATTTATTTTATTTTACAGATTAATTCTTTCTCCTTCAGTCTTTCTCTTTACTTTTGCACACATTTTTGTTGCTGCCTGTCTCATAACATTCAGAGTTGCTTTAAATCATGTCATGCAAACAAACTTGACAAATTAATGCATAAGAATCCCCAGAATGTAGGAATTTGAGGGTTAAACACTGAAAAATTCCTCCACATGTGTCCCCACAGTGTTCAGCTGGAATCTCCCAGCCATACACTCAGTTGTTTTCACACCTTTACATTCCACCCGGAGTATTTTTCCAAACCCTCACATGCAGCAGGTATCATGTGATAAAAACACCTGCAGCTTATTGTTCCAGAAGTTGTTGTACCGGTGGCAGCAGGTATCTCATTCTCCCCCTCGCAGCCCTTCCCACACTTCCCTGCAGTTCCCTAATTTGGCCGTTTCAGTCGCTCATGGGCGGGTTTCATGACGTAAGAGCACAGAGAGGGGAAGGGAGCAGAAGGCTGAATAGCTCACACCGGGCTGGAGGCTGATAACAGAAGCAGGGGAAGCTACCGTAGACGCAGGAACTCACCGGGAGGGACGCTTTAAACTCTTTATTTATTTATTTGTGGAGTATTTATTGTGTTTGTGTGAAAGATGAACGGAGTGACCAGAAGCCTGTGCACGTTTGAGGACATCAGAAGTCCAGAATATGGGGTGAGTAACTTCACACTGAGTTAGAGTGTTGAATGGATTCATAATGAAGCACATATTTCTGCTCATGTTTTTGTCATTTTTCCATCTTCACCTGCTCTGATTTGTCTCTAAAAGTCTCTTTCTCGTTTTCTGTTTCTGCCACATCCTCAGTCCGAGTTCCCTCATCCGCACTAAGTGGTGTATTTACTATTAACTCCCTGGCTTTGTAGTAATTAAAGCATTAGCTCCTGCCCTCCTGCCGGCTCAGAATTAGTCCAAGTAACATCTGTGTCTGTCACAAGCGCCTTCTGGCTGCATCATTTAAAGGCTAAGGGTTGCAGTTGTGACAGCGAAGGCAGCTCGGCACCTCAGGAAGCTTTGTGCACCACCTGTGAAGTTTGGTTCAACAGGTTTAAACCTTTTGTCGACGAGCGATGAGCAGGTTGTACCGTCAAAGCGTTCTGAACCGCCTGAACTCACAGCAGCTGCATTATTTCTAAGCTGAACAGTATTTGTCAAAGGTGTTCTCTCAGGTTTAAGTCGGTGACATGCTGGTCCAGCTTGTAGTTCTGTTCTTCCTCAGAAACTCTTGTGTGATTTTTGTGCTTTGGATGGTTCTCCTGCTGGAACAGTCAGCCAGGATTATAGTTTATCATCAGACATTCATCTATAGATGTCACATTTTACCCTCATGCAGCCCCATATCATGATGCTGCCACCTCCGTGCTTCACTGTCAGGACGATGCATCCACTGTGGTGGTCCTGGTCAGGTTCACACCAAACATCTGGACTCCATCTGAGCCCAACACATTTATCTACATCTGACCAAAGAATGTTCTCCAACATTCATCAGGCTTCTGTTCATGATCTTTAACAAAGCTTCCTCTTGTTGTTTTCTGCCACACAGAAAAAAGTTTATTACTTAAACGCCGTCCATAGAGGTTGATGTTCTGAAGTGTCTGAGCTTCACACGAACTCTGGTTTCCACTGATAACCCCTGAAGCAGCTGCCTTTGTCTGTTTTTCACAGCTAGATTGTAAAAGTGGATTTTTGGTTGATCTTACTGGATCCTTTTCCATCTTTTTCACAATCAGATTTTTTTGTTCCTTCAACAATTCTCTTCCATGTGGAGCCATGATGCAGACATAGAAACAGCTCATAGGTCCAAAACTGAGAAGTTCTGCTGTTCACGGCTCATTTTAGAACCATGTTCATACAGTTGGACTGATTGGAAATCACAGGTGGACTCAGTTTCGTAGCTCTGAGTTTCTACTTAGACTTAATACGCTGCTGTTCAACTTAGAAGTCACAGGATTTTTAGAGGTGATGCAGCTTTGAATCATCCTCTCAGTGACGTTGCTCGGTGCTGTCTTCCCTCCTGCTGCTGCTGTACGTTGGACGGTCATCTGTCTGTGCCAGTAATGGTTTAATAATTCACTCACCTGAATAAGCAAACTGTTAACCTGCGCTGTGGTTTATGAGGTTGCGGGGCAACACGACACCTTCACCTTCCACCTCAGTGGCCTCCTGCTGAGCTTCGCACCGGCCTCCCGCTGAGCTTTTACTGAAACACTCACGGCCAAGAACATGTTAAACTCCACAGAACTGAGTGAAAGACGTGGATTTTAGAGCCACGTTGTGTATTTGTGCCAACAGACTGGACTCGAATATGACTTTCTGTTGTGCAACTGTGCAACTGGAGGTCAAAGTGCACAAAGGGCACACCTAATAAACTGATTAACAGCTCCGAGGAATGCGCTGCGAAACAGTTTATGAAACTCTCTATTTGCTCGGCCTTTGTTTAATCGATCACGCATTACGTTTCCACAGAAAGACTTCACACAAATCCACCTTTATCGCCAGTCAAATTCTGCAAACAGTCGCACCTCCAGCATTTGCGTATCTGCTGCGGTCGGGCCGAGCGGAGCAGTCGAGACATTTCACCTCGATGTGTAACATGCTGTAATAACTGTGAGATTAGAAATGACCGGAGCTGCTTATCAGCGATTCATGAGGAGAAGGAATGCGACTGATGCGGCAGAGACAGGCCTGCATTTGTTGTTTTCATTCCTGTAATTTAGGAGATGTGATAAAACAGAAGAAACAACCAGAACAGACTGTGAAACAAAATGTTCTATGAGGTTAATAATCCACAGTTTGTCAGCCGCTGTTTGAGACTTTTTATCACTCTGACTTCCAGGCAGTTTAAGGGTGTTTTTATTCTGTCTCTGTCACATTTTTGCTCACTGTGGCCTCATTTCTCACTGCAATAAAAAGTCCTGCACCTCTATGGAAACAGAACAACCAGGAGAGAGAACTCAGAGATGCATTTTGTGCATTGGAAGGCCATAAAAAAAAAAAAAAAAAGAAGAACTTACTAATTACTTCATTAATTATACAAAAAAAAAACCCCACTAGAATCAACATTTTTCCAACAGGTGTTCCCAACAGTGGCTGTACATGATAGAGATAGTTAGCATTTAACATTTTTACATTTAAAAACTGATTCTTTTTCACAGTTTCTCACTCTAGAAAGATGTTTAACAGTACTGAATACATCCAGTGTGTTTTATTTTGCTCTCAATCGGTCTAATTTGCTTTCATACTTGTGCCAAGAAGTTCCTGAATTGCTGTCATGTGACTGTTAGTTGCAGCTGAGCCACGAGTACATCTTCAGTTTGGTTGAAGAACACAAAATTTTTTGTTTTTTACAGAATCTGGTTCCAGCAAACGGTTTATTTTTAACTAATTTTTTAAAATGAGACATGAGACTTGTGAAATAAAGTGATTTTGATAAAATAGGACGGTTTTGAGCTCAGATTTGGACGCCACGTTAAAAACCCACCGATTCTTTGTTCACGTTACAGAGTCTGGCTCTGATTAAAGTTGGGATTCTTTTGCTTTTCAAACTAGCTGCCTGCCAAAGGTTTGAATAATGCCACAGTTGGGCCTCCAGACATTCAGTAGCCGGGCACATTCCCCAAGCCTTCCCTCATCCTCGGTCACAGTCAGGAGAAGCTGACATCAGCGGCTGGGAGTCGGCCAAGGATGACATGCATCTGCGTGGAGAAACCCACACCTGCTTCACGCACACCCTGGAGCAGGAGAAAAAGATTATCATTAAAAGTGAGAGGATGGTGGGAGTTACAGTCACTTCATGAGTCAGGTCCCTGTTTCCTGCTCTGGATATTTACCTGTTCACCTGCTCGGCTTCTCACATGACGGCGTGCAAACATCCTGACATTTAGCTTCACACGACAGCTCGTCTTTAAAGCCGATTTAACCTTTAAAACCTTTCAACGCGCTCTAAACTAATCCCAACAGAGGCCACGCTTAAAATTAAGGATCCGTCTAAGAGTTATTTCCATTATGAAGTAAATATTTAGTTCAGCCTTTTAGTTTTTTAAAAGCACAAAGAGACAACTTCAGATTCGCTGTCATACGTGACAAAGAAAAGCAAAAAAAAACTTTAAATTTGAGCCGCTCAGGTTTGTTCCTTAAAGCTCTAAAATGACAAATCGATTGTCAGAATAGTCAAACTTCTGATAAATTGATTGATTAATCGTTGTAAAGGTCACTGTACCTGCTCAGGTGTGTCGAGGACAAAAGGTGTCCACAGAAAAGCCCTGATAAGTGATGAAGTTTGGCAGCGAAGCTCTGAGTTTTGTTGATCAAATATTTCCTGATCTTAGTCATTAGTTTAAAGTTTAAGCTGCATTTTATTGAGACAAAGATCCTTTTGAGCTGCTCGTGTTGCCTCAGAATGACCAGGTATGAATGAAGGAGTTCAGTGTAGAAAAGCGTGTTTGAATTAGTTTTTCAATTCAATAAATAACAAAAACGCGGTTACGTAACGATAGCTGGTATTGAGCAGCTGTTATCTCAGAGCCTTTATGGTTCAGTTGGATGAAAGACAGACGTGACATCTGTGCAGCGAAGCGGTTCAGGAGAGCGACAAAGTGATTTAACTACAACGAGGCTCTTCGCACACAAACACACGTGAGGAATTTTTTTTAGGAACAACACCAGTAACACATATTTTACTATTTATGGTCATAAAACCTGCTGCGACGTCAGTTTGAAACATACTTTTATGTTAAATACCCAACCGTCTGAAGCCCGAAACCTGCTGGTGGATTCAAAAAATATGTTTTCTTTTAAAAATCACCAAAATTATACTATTTACCAGAGCCAGAAATTGTAAAAGCAGAAAAAAATCATCACAGAACTTGTGTCATTTCATTAAAATCGCTTCATTCTGTGTCTCGTTCACAAATTCTGCAAAAAATTTATTATTTGCAGTAACAAGATTCTGTAAAAAATGTAAAATTCTGCCCTCTTTAGCACAACTGTGAAGCCATGAGTGAGTCAGCTGCGACTAAAAGTCACATGACAAAAATTCAGAGAGTTTTCAGGTAAGCTTTGGGTGACCAGAGAGACTGAGAAGAACATTTATCAATAAAGTGAATATAGTGTGGCCTAAAATCGGTAAACAGATTGATGTGCATAGTTTGTTATTTTTAATTCTGTTTATTTAGACAGGAAGTCCCGTTGAGATAAGAAGTCTCTTTTACAAGGGAGACCTGGCCAAGGCAGCGACCACACAAAGTCGAAAAACTAAATATGAAACAGATACATGAGACGTAAATGAATACTGAACAGTAAAAGAATAAAACAATAAAACAGATGGACGGCTGTTTAAGGACAGAGGCTTCTTAATGAAAGCAGTGACATTCCTCCTTTACTGTGTTCTTTATGGTGCTCCTAAACTCATTCATGAACATGAATGCTTCTAGTTTAAGAGTTAAAAATAAATAAATAAATAAATATCTCGAGGCACCACTTGGAAAATGTTGCAGAATCCATGTTTTCTTTTTTCGATTTGTTCTACATTTAAAATGCACCTAAAAAATAAACCATTTACTCCAAGCAGATTCTGTAAAAAATAAAAAAATTTGCACTTCCAAGCCCAACTGTGAAGATATTAACAACTCAGCTGCGACCAACAGTCACACGACAAAAATTCTGAGAGTTTTCAGGTAAATTGGTGACCAGAGAGATTGAGAGGAAGATAAATCAATAAAATAACTGCAGCGTGGCCTCAAAACAGTAAACAGAGGAGCAAGTTGTTGGAGGATACATTCATCATAGTGAAGCATCTTTTTATAGTTGATGCACAGAGTTGTGTTTGTCGAGACTGTAAAAATTCAAGTATGTAATATCTACAACCACCACCTGGAAAACATGTAGAATCCAGGTTTTCTTTTTTCGCTTTGTTCTACGTTTAAAATGCACCTAAAAAACAAACCATTTACTCCAAGATGATTCTGTAAAAAACAACAAATTTTGCTCTTCCCAGCCCAACTGTGAAGATATTAACAACTCATCTGCAACCAACAATCACACGACAAAAATTCAGAGACTTTTTTTGGCTAAATCGGGCTGAAATGCAGGCAGTGTTTACACAGATAAGAAATAAATTAAAATGCAAGTAGAGGCATTCATTATTCCAGTATTTGTGGACACTCGGAAGACTTTTTAATTAAGAAATTCAACTTTCTTTTAATGATTTGTGGCATCATACCAACCGCACAGTGCGAGTTTTGTCTACCGCTTCGTGTTTGAGGTGAAAAATGAGCCCACACTGAGGAAAAATGTGACAGAACCGTGCTTGTGGGCCCAAATTCAGAACCTTGTTTACGTCCTCTCAGAAAGTTTTCAACCCAGATGAGTTACAGGCCTCCTGCTGCCAAGAGCCCAAAACAAAAAGCGTCTTCTTCCCCTCCTGATCTCGCGGTCGAGCGCCCAGCTGTGTGTTCGCTCTCATGTTTCTGCCATCACAAAAGCCTTCGTGCACCGAGTGTGTGTGTGTGTGTGTGTGCGTTGTGTGTTGTGTGTGTGCACGCCTGCATCCAACCGGCCCTTTTTGTGCTGGAAGTCTAGTATTACAGGTTGTCTCTGAATGCATGTTTGTGTGTCAGCGGGTATAAAAGAGAAAACGTAAATAGCCTGTGCCCGGCCGAGGATTAGCCGAGCCTTTTGTGCGGATGTCTGTGAAAGGCCACAGAAGTTGTATAATGACGGATTCCTGCCTGACAAACCCTCCCACTGTTCTGCCCCCTCTAATCGGTGTTCCCCCATTACGGCATTGCAATCGGAGAGGTTTCGGTTTGTGCTTGCTGGACCCCTGCAGCAGCCCGTCCCTCCGCCTCCTTCGTTTTTCTGTTTCTGATTTTTTTTTTTTCCTCCTTCCTGAGCAGATAAGCGTCCGATCCAAAGGCCCTCTGTGGTCTCCGCACACGGCTGTCCTCTGATAACCGTCCCTTATCTCCACGTTATGCAACAGGTCGTTTGCACTGTTTGCATATCAGACGAACAGAGAGCTCATTTATTCATGTTAAACGCTGTAAACTGCAAAAACATAAGCCCTCAAAACAAAAGGTGAGACGTGAAGTTTGTGACGGGTTGCGTGAGGTAACAGCAAAACTGGGACAAACAGCCACTGAAACATGCGTCATGGCCTCATGGAGAACACACGGAGAGAAGCCCAAACGTATTAATCGTCATGCCAAGTTTTGATTTACGGTGAATTTTATGTGGCCAATTGGTTTCTTCTGGCTGGAAATGACATAAACAAGAGACAAAGGACAGTGAGGCATTGTGTTCGAGATGCTAAAGATGGAGTTTAACCAGTTTTGTGCCGTTTTTGTTTTGGTTTCTTTTAGGCCAAAATGATTCATAACTCTATATTTTCCTCCACATCAGTCAAACTGATTGAAACAGTAGCCGCAACGAGGTAGAAATGACAGTGAATAACTGAGTTAATGGCATTTTTAGTATTAAAAAACGTACAAGTGGTTAAAATTCCCAATGCGTTACTATCTTTTATCACGTGTTTATGCCATTTCCAGCCAGAAGAAACCATTTTTTGTATAAATGAATGATGCAAATGGCATTTATTTTTTTGGAAAAGTTAGCTAAAAGGTGTAGAAATAGTTCAAATTCATCATCTGATTATGTCTCATTCAAACATTTAAGCCCTAAACTATTCATGTGCATGCCAGATATGAACTTATAGTGATTTTTTATGTCATCAGTCGATGTCTTCTGGCTGGAAATGACAAAACAAGTGACAAAAGACTGAAAGATATTGTAAATTTTAACAATTTGTATGCTTTTATTGTAATTTCTACAATTATTCATGTTGACTTCTACTGTATTTCTGTTACTGTTAGCAATTATAACAACAGTTTGAAGGATGTGGAAGAAAATAAAGACTTCTGAGGACGAGTTTAGGTTATTTTGGACATAAAAATGTTTTAAAAGCACACAGAAGTAGTTCAAATTAATCGTTAACATCTTCAACACAATGTCTTAGTGTGTTATGTTACTTGTTTCTGTCATTTACAGTTGAAAAAAAACTGCCAGTTGCATAAAAATTCACTGTAAATCAAAATTTGATGTGAATATGAATGAGTTTTGGTTTAACCGAATGTGAGACCTGATCCAATGATGGATTTTAACTCTTTCTATGTTTTTATTGTAAATGTTTGCTTAAAAACGGCCATTTTTACAAGTATTCATGGTCTTTTCTATTAAGTTTCTGTTACTGTTAGCAATTATAACAACAGTTTAATGGATGTAGAGGAAAATAAAGACTTTGGCATGGATTTTAGGGCAGAGTTGAAGGTATTTTGAGCATAAAAATAGCTAAAATTCATCTCTAGCATAGCTTCTTACTATCCTTTCTCTCTTGTTTATGTCATTTCCAACCAGAAGAAACCAATTAAAATAATAATAATAATAATAAAAAGTCAAACTTTGGGATGGATTCAGGATCTTATTAACCAGCTCAACTACTGTAATACATCCATGGTTGATCTGTTTGTGTTTGTGTGTGCGCTTCGTGCTTGTTTTTGTTTGTGGCTGCAGTGATTTCATGTCAGAGTTGACGGAGGGGGAGGACACGGCCAACACTCATGGGAAAACAAATAGAACAGGGTTGCATAATGTCGCCGACCTCCTCCCTCGCATCCCGAGCTCCTCACAGACGCTCAAAACTCCACTCTCGATTCTTTAGGTGTAACGCGCCTCCTCCCTCGTACACGGTCTGCGGCGGTTTATGGCCTCTGTGAGGTTTCGTTGCCGTGGAAATATTACATTACATTTTCCTCCCACTTTCCCAGAAATGCGCCTCCAATTGGTCGCCGGCATCTGGAGGGTTCCCGCCTGAGTCCCTCTGACGTCTGTAGCACATAATTTAAATCAAACAATCTGCAGCTGTGAAGAAGTTTCTCTGACGTCCTGCCTTCGCTCCCTCCTCCTCCTCTCCGACGCTCCATGACTCAGTCTCTCCTCCTGTTTTGTTCCCCCCCCTCTCCTCAAAATAGTCCTCCATCAAGTCTCTCCATCTCACAACGGTCTCTTTGTGGGTTCGTTTTGTTTCCAGGAGAGCTGCAGGCGGCTGAGGCTCACTCTGCACGACCAGAACCAGGCTGCCCGGAGCTCGGAGCAGCACAGGGACAAGGTAAGAGGATGGAGGGCAGATGGGGGTGATGGTGGGCACCAGAACAGAGGGGAATAAGGGTTGTAAATCCTCCAGTGTGCTGCCAAAGTATGTGCTTTGGACTGATTTTCTGATTCAAATCAAATCAGGTTTATTGTCATTTTGCTGTAAATACCAGATGAGAGAGCGTTTCTTCAGGATCCAACAGCAGTTTAAACAAAGAAGTGTTTGCACATCTGGATCAGCAGTTCAGCATTCTGACAGCTTGTGGACTGAAGCGGTTCATCATTCTGGCTGATGGCAGCAGTTCAAACACTTCTTTCTTGTGAGATTTAGAGATTGATCGTTGTTCTTTCCAGGTGAAGGTGTTGGATGTGAAAGTTCAGACAGTTAATCGTCTTTTAAACACAAACCGCTCATAAACTGGCCACCAGCTTTATTAGCCTGATTCCCACAAACACACTCCGAATGTCTCAAGACGTCCATTGTTTCACCAGAACCAGGACCACCAGAGCAGCTCGGTTACATAACGCCTCCTTCTTCTTCTTCTTCTCTGCTCGTGGTTCTGACCACTTCCAAAGCTCATGTTTATGTCTCCATGGTGATCACCGCTAAACGTCTCCTGATTATAGACACAGGAATAGCTGCTAACTATATATTCTTCATCCTTTTTTTTAAGTTTTGCAAGTTTAATTGCATAATTCGTGCAAAAATTCCCGACAGATGTTTCATAACCCTTCCGGTCCGTTCTTCCAAAATGCTGTGTTGCAATACTGTGCACACACACACACACACACACACACACACACACACACACACACACACACACACACACACACACAAAAGCATGATTTAACTCTGCTCTGGCTCACATTTGTGTATAGAAATGTGTCCCACCCATCCACCGTTAACTCCCCTGCCCTCTGATCCGCAGCCAATCGGAAGAGCTTTCGCGTTGGTGCAGCCGCCCAGCGACAGAACAGCTTCCATCCCAGAGCCGGTGAAGTCTACAGACGAACAGGTGGAGGTCATCAAGGTGGGTGTTTGGGGGTTTTTTTCCCCATATTTTTCCTCATTTTTCACTGCAACATAAAGTCCTGCACCTCTATGGAAACAGCACAACCATGACTAGAAGGAGAGAGAACTCAGAAATATCTGCTGTGCTGAATGACACAGTTTTAGTGCCATTAATCATAAAAAAAGGTGGAAAAAAAGTTGATTTTTAGTTCTACATGCTCAACATGTAATACATATTTAACTTATTTGAATTTTTACAGCCTCTATAAACTGTTTTTCACACTTCTCTACAAAGATGTTTCACCATGCTGCATGTATCCTCCAACAGCGTGCTCCTCTGTTCACTGTTTTTGAGCCATGCTGCATTTATTTTATAGATCTAGCCTGTTTTATTCCTCCTATAGCTGTTTCCATACTGCCTGCAGTTCAGCCGAAAACTCTCAGAATTTTTGTTAAGTAACTGTTGGTTGCAGATGAGTCATTCTTAGTTTCCTGGCTGTGCAGAGAAAGGCAGAATTTTTTGTTTTTTGCAGAATCTGGTTCAAATGATTGCTTTATTTTTACACATTTAAAAAAAAAAAAATTAAGATGCAGGTTTTTGGTGAAATATCAGTTTTAGTCCATTTTTCTGATCTGAAAGTTAAATATCAGACGATTATTTCTGTTTTTACAGTTTCCATCTCTGAGAAGTAGTGTCACTTTAGCATTTAAAAAACAACAACATGTCTTTTAAACCCCCGTGTCTCCTTGTTCCAGGTTTATCTGGAAGCCCGCAGACAGGAGCAGCAGAAACACCAGCAGAGCCTGAAGATGCTGTCGGACGAAGTTTCCCAGATTCAGGAGGTGAGTCTCTGGACGGCATCGAGCTGCGACTGTTTCTTGTAACGCTGCACTCAGTCGTCCCTGTTTCCCGGATTATGTAAGAATGTGCTTGTTTGCATCATGTAAATTCCATCCTGGCTCTGTCTGGAAAACTCGGCCGGGCTGGAGGTCATGAATAGCTTCATTGTTGTCAAGCTTTAAAACTCAAATTTTTTTGAGGCCATTTCCAGCTGACCTTGTCATTAGACTGTTAATGATCTGTTATTAAAATGAACAGATAGAGAAGCAGAAGAATTTGAAATACAAAACTATGTAAGGAATGTGATTGCGTAACAGGGCTGCAACTAACAATTAATCTAATTATCAATCATTTCCTGGATTTTTTGAACTATAAATTGTCAGAAAATAGAAAAATGTTGACGACAAATGTCTTGTTTCGTCCAAAGATTTTCCATTTACTGTCAAATATTCATGTTTAAGACTTTTTTTTGTCTTAAAAACCTGCAAAACAGTTGACAACTAATTGATTCATCTTTAAAAAACACCCGATAATGTCTAAATAACTCTGTGTTTGGTGCAGGTGAGGTACTGTCTGAAGACTCTGAGGGAGCAGATGGCGGCTAAAAACAAGGTGGGCGTCGTTTTAAAGGCCGCGTTGTTGTGACCTCTCCATTGTTAACCTTCCATCCTGTACGCTCAGAGGCATTTCCTTCGCCTTTCTTTCCTCACCGGTTTCCTCCTTTTCTCTTCTCCAGCCGCACACAAACGGGTGGAAGGTCAGCATTCCCTTCAAAAAGAGCTCGGCTGCACCCAAAGGAGGCGCCAAGGCTGATATACAGGTGAGACGCCCGCACTGAGATACAAATTCTGCTTAAAAAAGAAGCTAAAATGACAAATTTGATCATCGAAATAGCTGCACGGCAACTTTTTGCAGGATGCTGAGTGATAACGGGGTATTTTACGTTTGGAAAATTGTAATTTTACTACTTTTTTACTTCGACTGAGTGCTTACGAACAATCTGAGTACTTTATCCAACTTGCACAAATGAAAAAAAAGGCGGGTAAAGGTTGAGTTTAGAGTATTTTCAGCACATCAGAGCTCAAATCTGTGTTTTTATGAGTCCTGTTGAGCATTTACGTCCCAGATGGACACAAAGAAACGAGTGAAATGCGAGTTAAATCCCCTCCCAGCCCCCCTGAGTTAATAAAACTGTTCCAGGACACTCTGTTCCTCTTCCTGCATGTGCTGCTGCTGCTGCGTTCAGGAACCTCCTCATTCCACACATGCCTTTAACAGTTTTGTTGCTGTTCACTTTTGGGATCCACCATCACCACCCCCACTGTGTGCACGTCACCAGTGTTTTTGTTCCTGTGCAGACACAACAACACCGTGGGTGACACCGTTGTGTTTGATTCTTTTTGCACCACTTATAGTAGTATCTGTGAGTCACCCTGACATTAGCGCCGCAGAATCTGGAGGGAAACATCCAGCTGCTCGGCTGACGCACGCCGACGACACGCCTGTTTTCTTTATGAGGGCCGAACCCACTGAGATTACACGAAACGAAAACAAGACTCCTTTTTTTTTTATTACATCACCATAAAGGCATCTGTGCTAATCTGACACTTCTGTAACCGTCTGCTCAGGACGCAGAAGACGAGGCGGAGAGAACCAAGCTGAGGGAAGTCAGCAAACGCCTCTATGCACAGCTGCAGGAGGCAGAGAAGAAACATCTGGAGGAGAAAGAGAGGCTGCAGGTAACAGATATGAACCACAGAGCTCATCTTTTACTGTCATCTTTACCGTGGAGTTCAGCTGTATGAAAGCAGAACTTAGAGGAATTCTAATATTTTCAGTTTCTGTGTTTTGGACTTTTCAATTATTTACATTTTTATTATTTTAATACAATTCCAGTGTATTAGAAGGGAAAAGGTTCACCTAAAAGCAAGATATCCAGAATTTAGTCATGATTACGACACTAAATATTCTGCTGGTGTGTAAAAATAATTTAAAGCTGCAGCAGTTTATAATAAAAAAAAAGGTAAAATCTAAAATTTTAATTGTAACTGAGCCTGTTGCCATATTTTCTTTTGTGAGCTATTTAATTCCAGAGGTTATGTTCTAAACACATCCACACATTAAATGTATTTTATTAATGTCACTGCTACAGATAACCTGCTGTGAAATTGAAAAATATCGTCATTATCAGTTAATCTGTTGATTGTTTTCTTGAGTTGTTTAGTTTAGTTCTTGTAGTTTCTAGTTTACTGTCATAAAGGAGGAAAGAAACCAGAAAATATTCAGATTTAAGGAGCTGTGTGAAGAGAATTTAGACTTCTTCTGCTTAAAAATGACTCAAACTATTAATATCAAGCTGGAATTTCAGTTTTAAATTGTGTAACGCTGATAAATATATGTTTATAAAGAATGAAATTTTGTCTGGGCCCAGTATTAATGAGCTACAAAATCCAAAAAATGACAAAACTTTTACTGAGTTTACTGGTCTAGAAATCCTGCACATTAATATATGCAATGAACAACAACAACAACATCAAAACTTTTTAAAAAAAATGCACAAAGCATTAGAAAACGACAATAAAACATTAAAGAAAAAAACACAAAGACATTAAACATTAGTTAAAATAATGAATTGAAATGAGTTGGTTTTTTAAAATGTCGTAGAAATCCTTGATTAAAAACAGAAATCTGTAATAAAAATTGGCAAAGAAATGCTTTCAAAATGAGAATTAAATCTGTTGTAAGGAATGAATGCGACATGAAATCGATTTAAATACGACTGTTTTATAACAATATGAACAGAAAATGTTAATAAATTGTCACCTAAAGTCAGCTCAAATTCTCAGAATGGTTGATAATTGATTTAATAGTTAATTGATTACTTGATGCAGCTCTAATTAACTATCAATCATCAGGGAAGCTATTGCTGCTGTGTGTAAACGTCTGATGCAGATGTTTAATAAACTTAGAGGAAAGAGTCCTGAACAGCTGGAAGCAACAAATTAAAATCCACCTCGCTTTTCTCAACTAAAGATACGTCTTTGTGTTTTCTGTGATGTTGGATAACTTCCGCTGTCACCTGATGCTGCTTTCACCTGCACCGTAGCTGCATTTACTGAAACTCTGACGTTCACCACTTAACCTCATTTCCTCCTGCAGGCTGAAGGCAGCCGGCTCAGGGAGCATCTGAGCGACCAGCAGGAGAAGCTGAAGCTCTCAGAGGAAGCCGGAGAGAGGAAAGACCAGCGCATCGAGGAGCTGCAGAGGCTGCTGGGAGGGATGGAGCAGGAGAGCGCCACCCTGAGGGAGGCCATCCGCAACTGCGAGGACGAACTACGCGAGCTACGCAAGATCAGAGAGGAGGGCCACCCCGAGGGGCAAAGGTCAGATACACCAGACACACCTCGATAGATGTGCAGTCTGTCGGTGATGGTAGCAGTGTGCCGTAACCGGCGGTGTGTATTTTTAGGGCTGAGCAGCTGGAGAAGGAAGTGGCGATTCTCAAGGAGAAGATCCACCATCTGGACGACATGCTGAAGAGCCAACAGAGGAAAGTCAGACACATGATTGAACAGGTGAGAGGATGCCGCGCCAGACTCGGCAAAGCAAACGCGACGCCGCCGTGTGCATATTTGCGCTGCGATCTGCTGGTTGTTTGGCTGCTCTGACGTTGTGTTTGCTCGTCTTGCAGCTCCAGAACTCGCGCATGGTGATCCAGGAGCGGGACCGCGTGATCAAAGAGCTGGAGGAGAAAGTGGCATTCCTGGAGGCCGAGGTGAGGAAGAAATGCCTCAGAGGAATGTAAAGTCTGACCTCTGCGAAGATAAAGAAGATAACAGCTCACTCTTTTACACGTTTTCTGAGTAGTTTAACCGTAGATAACCTCTAAAAACTTTCTGTTTGTGCAGAACCGAGAAATGCACGACCAGATGGACTACTTCCTGGGAGGACAGAGGTCAAATTCCTACCTTTCATCAGAGCGTAACGCCCAGATTGTCTACAGGTAGCTTGTTTTGCCCTCATTCCTCCAGAGTTTCACCTGCAAACTTTGCTAAATGCAGATCTGTGTCAGCTTTGGGTTTGGCATCTGTTCTTGAGGTCAAGTTCGTCAAAATTAACAAAGAATAAATGATCTCTTGTTGCGATTCTTATCCTAAAATTGATTCCAGAGGGTTGAACTATGAAGCAAAGCCAGAACTTTCAGCCTCAGGAATGTGGCTGTCTTTCAGCTCCCTTTGATCTGATGCTGCACAGCAAACCTGCTGCTGAAATTATGATGATGCGCCTCATTCCACCAGTTCCTATCCCATCTGAGGTTTTTATTTGCCAAACTGTTGACCTGTACATTTGTAGTCCCACTGAATGAAGCCTTATGGTCACAGTAGCACAAATGTTAGGCGTCGTTTGGCCACAGGAACCTTCATGTATTCAGTTAGTGATGCAGAAAAATGCATAAATATGTTCTGAAGCTTCGTCCTGATTTGCTGCCAAGTGTGTTTTACACTGCCGGTACTGCAGCTGATTAGAAAACAAACTACTTCATTGGCATTTATCATAGAGAATATTCACTGAGTAACAATAATTCCATTTTTATTTGGCCAAAAACTAAACTAAACTTCTTCATTGTGGGACAGTGTCACATGTAAATGTCTGAAATTGATCATTTTACAGCTCTAATGTGCAGCTTTGATGTTAGAAATAAACAGCTGCATTAACCCTCTGAACTCCAAACACTTTTCTGTTTTTTTCCAACTCCGACACGTCATCTCTGCAACAAGAAACAGATATAATAGCACTGGATAAGATAAGGGCTATCACCACATCAGCTCTCCATCGGTGTCCACAGGTGTTACCAATACTTGACACTACCTTGATAGATAGTCCATGAAACATCCAGGAATTATTGTAAAATGAATGTTGGTCACAGCTTAGTCACTCATACCTTCACGATTGCACAAAAGAGCAAAGAACTTTTTGGTTTTTACAGAATCTCATTAGTGTAAATGCTTTATTTTTGGCGATTTTTTAAAAATTAAAACACAGTTTTAGGCTTAGATTTGGTTTCGTACGTCACAGATGAGTAGTTTAATGACCCTCGGAAAGTTGAAAACAAGAGGAGTCTCTGTTTTTTTTAGTTTCTGGCTCTATTAAATGCAGTAATTTTGCTATTTTAAAAAAAAAAAGAAATCCTGCTTTTTAAATCTGCCAGCGGTTTTTGGAGTTCAGATGGTTAAATACTGAAATTTTAAAGTTTTGGAGCTCTCATCTGTGAGAAATAAGTAGCTGAATTGAAAGTCAATGAGCAGTAAAATAAACTTAGATGAATAACAAATTAATAAATGTTTTATATTCCTTATATCTGTCCAGTGTAACGACCTGTGAGTAAAGTAGGAGGCACACAAAAGGTCTATTTTGAGTGGAAAAAAGAAAGAAACTGATGAAGAGTTTGGCTTTTAGGTTTAGTTTAGCCAGATAATGCAAAACAAAAGCCTGGCTATGTTAATCTTGCCTCATGGTGCACCCCTCAGGCCTCAAGCACAAACCTGATGCTTAAATCTCCAGCTAATCCGGCTGTAAATCTGCTTAATACTAATCATCAAACTTAATGTCTCCTCTTTTTTTATTTCCTGCAGCAAACCCATCAAGCTCTCCACCTCGTCCAACAAGCCGCTGCCCTTCATCAAAGTCATCGAGATCAAGTCATGAGGCGGCCGCTTGGGAGTTACCGTCGAGAAGAAGAAGGGCTCACAACCACCAAACCTTTTCTGTGCAGACTGAAACCAACCGTCAGCTCTACTAACTCACCTTTACGCCACTCGAAGGAAAACAACCTGGGCGACCGAGTAGCGATTGTCAGCTTTATTGTTCATCTTGTCCTGATTTGAGTTTATGACCTTTGTGCATTGATACCATGCAAAGTTCAGGATGACTGACTCTTTGCCAAAGTTTTTATAGTCCGTGCAGCAGCGTAGCATCAACGTACCGCCGCTAACTCCGCTGTTATGTGCAAATCTTTAACCGGATGATCTGAAATCTGTCGCCGGTGGCTCGACCTCGACTCTGTTCGCCTGCTGAGTGAACAGTGAGACGTGTAAATACTGACTGGGGCCTCTATAAAAGGTGAAACCCTGTGATTTATCTTGTAGTTGTAGGCGACTTTGAAGCAGTTTTTAAATAACTACACGGTCTTTAAGCTCCCCAGTAACGACATGGCACTTTACGGAAGCAGAAGGAAAACATGAAGACGTTGACAGAAGCGTTGTTGTTCTTGTAAAGCATTTCAGTTCCCCGTCAGTGTGGAAAGCTTCGTTTTGTTTTTGTACATATTATTACTGAATGTGATGTTTTAATTTCTATCTAACGACTTTCTCCTTTGTATTTATTTATATATATTCACCTCTAGGCAGCCTGCTTGATAGAGGAGCTTTTGTATGAAGTACATCCTAATTCCGTTTCCTGTGTTGTTGTGGTTTTCAGAATAAAAGTCCTGAAAAGTAACGAGCTGCTTCGTTTCATGTTTTTGATTGATGGTATTGTTCAAGGTTCAAGGTTACTTTAAGAGACAAAAAAAAATCTGCGGAGTGTTTTGATAACATTTAATCACCACGTCATGTAGTTTGTGCTCACCAAATGTTAGGTGTGTACGACGAACCCCCTCGGAGGAGTTCGATTTTGAAAATGGCCAAAAAT